ATACCTTAGGTTTAAGTCTGTTATCCAGCATGAGTTGGTTTTTGTGAGAGGTGAAAGGCGGCTGGGTCCTGTTTTAGCCTTCTACCAGGTGGCTATCCAGTTTTCCCAGCACATTTATTGAAAGGGATTCATTTCCCCAGCAGTATGTTATTGACTGCTTCTGTCCAGCATGAGGATGGCTACTGATGAGGATGCGTTTATATCAGGATTCTCAACATCTGTTCCACGCGTCAAGATATGTCCTATTTTTGTGCCAATACCATATTGAGTTTACTCACACAGCTTGCTGTAGTATCATTTGATATCTGGGCATATTATGCCCTCCCATTTTTGTTTTGGTGTGCTTAGAGCTTGCTCTTGACTATTTGGGTTCTTCTTTGGTTCATATGAAGCCACTAAATTATTTTGTTCTATATCTGTGAAGAATGCTGAGTGGATTTTAATCCAGTATTGCATTGATCTGTAGCAGTCGACTTTGGTTAGTAGTAGACATCTTTGATGATATTGATCTGCGCGCATCCATGAGCCGCAATGGTACTGGATTTCCATCTGTTTAACATCCTTTGCTGCTATTTCGCCTTCTCAGTGCTTTTCTGTCTCCCTGTAGAGCGTCTTTTACTGGTCTTGGTTAACAGGTATATTCCTAGGTACTTTATTTTTTTGTTGCTGTTGGTGAGAGGTAACTCTGGAGTCTTGTTGAATTGGTTCTCATGAGCAGTTGTGCTTGGCGTATATGTGACATGCCTCTGATTTACTGTTTCTGTTTTGATCCTGAAGACTTTACTAAATTCATTGATCAGTTCAGGAGTTCTGGTTGAAATCTTTGGTCGTTTTCTAGATACAATACTCATAGTCATCCAGCAAACAGTGAAAGTTTGATCTCTTCTGCCCTAGTTTGGATACCTTTGATTCCATTTTCCTGTCTGATTGCCTGTACCAAGATTCCAGCACTCATGTTCGAACAGAAGTGCGAGATAGGCTGGCAGCTTGGTCTGGTTCAGTTCGTTAGTCGGAATGATTTCAATTTTTCCCCAGTTCCAGGTATCATGTTGGCTAATGGGGTCTGTCAGTAGTTATGGCTTGTAATATTTTTACGGTATGTCCCTTTTTCTTATGCCTATTTTCGTTAAGTGTTTCATATCATGAAAGGGTGTTGAATTTTGTCAAAAGCTTTTTTTTTTTTTCTTGCATCTTTTGAAAGGAATCATGTGCGATCTAGTTGTTATTGCTTCTGTTTATGTGCGTGGAATTGCCGTCGGGGGGCGGATTTACTAGATTTACGGATAGTTCGAACGATCCTCGCATCCCTGGATGAAAGCCCACTTGGTCCTGTGGTGGACTTATTTTTTTGATAAGCTGTCTGGATTTGGTTAGCTAAGATTTTGTTGAAATTTTGCTGCATCTATATTCCATTACGAAATATTTGGTCTGTAGTTTTGTTGTTCGTTGTTGCATCCTTTCCTGGTTTTGGTATCAGGAGTAATATCTCGCCTTCATAAAAGGTGTTGGGAGGTCTTTTCCGTTCTTCTCGATGTTGTTGAATAGTTTCTGCAAGATAGGTACCTAGTGTCTTCTGGTACAGCTGTGGTAAAATTCAGCGGTGCGAGCCATCTGGACCGGACTTTTCTTTTTTCTAGGGAGATTTTTAATTTGCTGCTTTCTATTTTAGCTGTTGAGCATTGGTGCGTGTCACGGGAATGTATTTCTTCTGGGTTTGAGCCTAGGGAGGCTGTGTCGCTTTCTAGAATTCCATCTTCTCCAATTTTCCAATTCGTTGTGTCATAACAGCATTTTGTCGTAGTATTCCATAAATCTGTATTTGTATCTCTTTGGATCAGTTGCTGATATCTCCTTTTGTTGTTCCTGATGGCAGGTTATTAGAGATTTCTTTCTCTCGCTTTCGTTAGCGTTTAGCCAATGGTGTGTCAATCTGGTTTATTGTTTTCAGGAACCAACTTGTTTGTTTTATTGCAATCTCCTGAATAGCTCGTTCCCTGTTTCAATTCGTTTGTTCCTGATTTGATCTTGGTTGAGGTGTTTCAGCTTTTCTGCCTGGGGTTCTGGGTTGTCTGTTCTTCTTTTTCCAGCTCTTTGAGTCGTTCATAGATTTCTATGTTGTGATCTTCTTGTCTTTTGCGTGTATAGGCATATTTATGGAGATAAGCTTTCTCTCAGAACTGCTTAGCTGTGTCCCAGAGGATTTGATAACTTGTCTCTCCATTGTGCGTCTTCCTTCATAGAATTTTTTATTCTCCGTCTGATTTCTTCATTTATGACAGTAATCATTTGGAGGGAAAGGTTGTTTAACTTTCGCGTTTGTGTGTAGAAAATGCTGAGTTTCCTGTTAGGGTGTGATTTCTAGTTTTAGTGTCCACTGTCGATCTGAGAAGGTACATGCTATTTTCTATTTTTATTAAATTTCTTGGAGCATCTTCTTTGTGTCCGTCGAGGATATGGTCAATCTTAGAGAAGTGTCCCGTGAGCTGATGGAAGAACGTATATTCAGTGGATTTTGGGTAGAATGTTCTGTAAATGTCAGTCAGACCCAATTGTTCTAGAGTTTTGTTTACAGCCACCAGCCAGAGGCACCTCCAGGGAATGGGACCTTCCCGTTTGAGACCCTACAGCTGACTCAGGGGAACTCAGACTGTGAGCTCTCTAACCCACCGCCGCCTCAAGTTGCTGCTGGCATGGTGTTCCCAGGAGGAGAACGGTGCCGACTCAGGACGCTGAGAGACACTAGACCCAACTTGGGCTCCCTGTGGGTGAATTGGGACTGCAAATCCTCCTCCGCTGGTGGGATACAGTCTGAACTCTGGACCCAGAGGTTGGAACCTGCAGACCAGATCCCTGCACCGAGGGCTAGCATTGCCAGGGCACGCGAAGGTATATCGTGAACAGCCTACTGAGGTATGTGTGCCTCCAGGGCGGATCGGCGTCCTACGAGGGCAACCCTCCTCCCAGGAGGAGGCCTGCACCCAACCTAGGTGGCGGTTCCTGTGCAGGGAATCTCGCCGCGCATCACAGTCCGGGGAGGCTGGTGGCCTTGTGGTCTGGCCTGCTGGCAGAGCCCAGGAGTAGCTGCGGAGTTGAGGGAAGGTGGAAAGAAGCGAGGCCCGCTCCAGACTGCGGGTCTCAGACAGCCCACCCCCACACACAGACTTTTCTGGCTGAGCGGGACATTCACGCCCACGCCTGACAGCTTTCCCTGGAAGCAGCAGCACAGAACTTTGACCCTGCTAACGGCCTGAGGGCAGGCTTACCAACCCAGCTCCGCCCAGAACAAGAGCTGATAACAGGACACAAAATCAATAGCATAGCCTGTTCCTCAAGCAAACGCCACCTACTGACAGGACGGCATCTTGCACAGCTTTCCACGGCACCCACTGACTCAATATACAGGGAGTGGTCCAATTTTACCCACCAGACACCACCTAACGCCTCAGAAACTAAACAAGGTGTGTGAATCCCAAACAATAACTTAAGGAAAGAAACAACACTGATCGACATGGGAAGAAATCAGCGAAAGACTCAGGAAATATGAAGAACCAAACGGAAAACACACCCCCAAAGAGGGCACCAGCCCCTAAACGACACCAACCAAAATCAGCAAGCCAATATTACAGAAGAGGAATTTCGTATGTGATCATAAGAACACTCACCCAGCTGCAACAACAACTCAATAACCAACACAAAGAAACCACAAAAAGCCTCCAGGATATGGAAAAGGAAAACTGAACAATGAAAAAAGTTTAACCGAATCCTGGAAATGAAGACATCAATTCAAAGGAACTACAAATACAGTGGAAAGTGTCAAAAGCAGGGTAGATCAAACAGAAAAAGAATCCAGAGCGAAGGAGTAACACCCTCCATTAAATAAATCAGTCATAGAAATAGAGCAGAAAAAAAGAAAAGAGCAAAGCACAAAGCGTGTGGTCATGTGAAGAAACCTAACGTGAGGGTCATAGAAGGGAGAGAGAACAACACTCAAGGGTTGGACAAGCTGTTTGAGAGATAATAAGAAAATTCCCAGGCCGGCTGCTAAAATCTTGATATACAAGTTCAAGAAGCTCAGAGGACCGCCGGGAGATTCAATGCAAACGGAAGACGTCACGACATGCAGTCATCAGACTGACCAAAGTATCAACTAAAGAGGCCTTCTAAAGCTGAAGATAAAATAAGTAACATACAAGGGAAAGCCAATTCGAATAACATCAGACTTCTCTAATAAGACTTTACAAGCAGGAAGACGGGGCCCATTCTCACTCTTTTGAAACAAAACAATGCCCAGCCTAGAATATTATTCCCTGCAAAACTAAGCTTCGTATATGAGAGAAAAAATAAACATTCTCAGACAAGCAAAGGCTCAGAGAATCACCAAGACAAGACCAGCCCTGCAAGAAGTACTTAAAACAGCGTTACGCACGGAACATCATAATAATAACCCACAAATATAAAAACAACCAAAACCCAAAGATATTAAAGGCCAGATATTACAATGGCTCAAGACAGAAATCATAGCAACAACATCCAACCCAACAGAATGATCAGTAATCTACCTTACCTATCAGTTCTCTCAATAAATGTGAATGGCTTAAACTCCACTCAAGAGACATAGGCTGGCTGAATGGATAAGAAAATATAGGCCAAGTATATGCTGTCTTCAGGAAACACATCTAACCTGCAAGCATGCATATAGACTAAAAATAAAAGGTGGAGATCAATATTGCAAGCAAATAGAAGCCAAAAGAAGCTGGGTGTGGCAGTTCCTAATTCAGACGATTTAGGTTGTAAGCCAACGCAATAAGGAAAGAGCAAAGAGTCATGGGTGATAAATGTGGTGAAAGGCACAGTTCAACAAGAAGAGATAACAATTTTAAATATATATGCACCCAACTTAGGTGCACCCAGATTCATAATGCAAACCTTACTGGAGCTAAGCAAATGGATTAATAGCAACTCCATAATCGCCGGAGATTTCAACACCCCACTGACGGCATGAGACAGATCCTCCAAACAGAAAATTAATAAAGAAATAATGGACTGAATCAGATTTTTAAAAGTTTACTACACTGTTGTATAGAATTCATTGAAAAGGAGCAAGATAGAAACAAATTGAACAATCAGAAGGCTGTTCTACCACTGCAGACAGAAAAAAAGGTGGCATAGATTAGGGTGCCTCCTGGTAAGATGGTGAGAAGATGCAGATTTGAGAGATGTCTTGGAGGGTGAATCTGAATCTGCACACATAGGTGGTAAGTTGGATGTTGGGTTGGCAGAGCGGGCAGATGCAGGGTGGCTGTTTAGTTGATTGGATGTTGGTACCATTCGTTGAGATGCAAGAGATGATCCTTCACCTTCTGACAGTGAAGTCAGAAGCATCACCATCTCCATTCCTCTTAGATGCCAACATTTACAATGTCTTTGCTTATTTATGCTCCTGTATCTCATTATATCCACTTCCAAGTTCTGTGATTTTTTTTCCTCAGAATCTTCCCCAATAACTCTTTATCCTTCTCCATTCCTTTATTGCTTTTTAGTTCAGACCTGGGTGACCTCATTCCACAGTTGCAAATTTGCTTCCTCTCTGTGCTGCCAGCTCCTGTTCTCTCTGTGACTTTATCCATCACTGCTATACTATTTGAATTTCATAACTATGTACTTAAGTGCCAGTTTGGGTAGATCACCTTGTTGAGCAGAGTTGAAAATTAAATAAGAAGTTAAATATATTTGAGGGAACTCAGGTCAATTTGCAATTATAATTGAGGCAGACAGAATGAAGGCCATTTTGCCTAGTGATCAGAAAAGACTGTGTCATCTCCTTACATAAAAATGAATTCCACATGGATCAAACATATTAATTCCAAAATACCTAACAATAAAAATACCATAAGAAAAGATTCGTGGATATATTTTTAAATATTTATGATCAGGTAGGTTTGAAGACCTTTTAAAGAATGTTGAGAGATTCAGGTACCATGAAAAAGATAGATCCACTTGATAGCCTACATTTAAAATTTTTTATATAAAGGTAAAACAACTTTCAACCAAGAATTTCAGCTAAACTAATAAATGTAGAAGGAATGATGGAAATAGAAAAATCACCATTTTCAAATACATTAGTAATTGTTTCAGGCAAAAATATCTTTTGTTGCTAAGATTAGTGGGCAACAAGGGCATATTTGCATAGTTTCAAAATAACTTCCTCCAAGATCCTCTTTAATTACAAAGGGGAAATAATATCTTTACGGGGGGAATCCTGACAGACATAACAAAAACAAATGATTAAAGCTAATTTCACCAATAATCAAACAAACCAATGGCATGTGTCTCCTGATGCATTGTGGACATACAGTAACTTATGAGGGATTTTCACCAAAAGATGCAAAACTCTCCTTGTTTCCTGTATTTTGTCTTCATAGCGGTTACCACAGTTTTTATTTTGTAATTGTGTAGAATTAATATCTTTACATGTCTCTGCCCCAGCCCTATCTCCTAGAAGAATGGAAGATCCGTAAGATCAGACGTGTCTCTCTCCTTGCTCACCATTCTATCACCAGCTCCTAGCACTAAGGAAGGGCTTAATAAATAATGTTGAATACATGAATTTATATGGAGCTAGCAGTATTTATGGGAAAGATGTACTTAGCCTTGGAACATATTGAATGAAATATCACAGTTGGACACCCAGGTGGGAATGGATGGAGGACATTTGGAGGTACAGTGCTAAAGCTCTAACTAAGCTGAAGCCATGCGTCCTATAGAATAAAGCTATGTCAAGCGAAAAGACAGAAAATTAATATTTGAAATGCAGAGCGAGTGAAGAAGAAGGAAAAAGGAAACACCTCTATTTGGCAGAGGCCAAGGCAGGAGTCGGTTCTGAAGTAGAGAATGTTCACCTGCCCGAGGCCAGGCATTTGGGGGTTATTTGTAACTATCTTATGGCAGTTTTACTTGATGCAGTGAGTCTCAAGTTTTAATGTGCATAAAAATATCCTGGGCTGCTTGATTAAAAAAGAGAGAGAGAGAGAGAGATCTCTGGGGCACACTTCCCAGAAATTCTGACTCAGTGGGGCCTAGAAATCTGTTTTTTTTGTGGCCAGCGCCCGCCTCCTCCACCATGTAGTTGTGGTCAGGTGATCCAAGAGCCGCACCCGGAGGGAACAGTACACAGAGTTAGGGGGTGTCAGCGACAGGGAAGGGAGACAGAAGGGGATGAGAAGAGAGCAAACAGGAACAGATGGCCACTTGCTAACAACTTTGCCAGTGTAAGGGGATCTTCGAGAGTTTTAAAACGGATTGACAGAGAAAGTTTCTGGAAGGACACCGTCTTTTTTGCTTTTGTCCACTGCATTAAAGAGATGGTCTCATGCAAAACCAAGCATATGAATGCAGGTAGGTTAGGTCATGTCAAACTGTTAAGATTCTTGTGGTTGGGGAACATCGGAGAAGTAGTGGCTGAGTATTTCAGGAGAGCCGTCTTTTGCTTTTGAATGGTAGTGCTGGACTCAACTCATTTTGTTGAAGTACTGTCATAAGGAAATGTATGAAAATTAAATAAAATTGACTAATGATGTCCAAGGACTGACTCCATCTCTGGGTAGGCAGGAAAATGATGTTATTTTTAAAATTTATTTGTGAATTATTATGCTTCATAAAGTACTTTTTGGACAGTACTTTCTTAAAAGCAAATTGCAGTAAAAATTGAAGTATATTAAAGTATACATTAAAGTTTCATGGCTTATGGGTGGCTTATCTTTGGAATGCCTTATTTCTAGGAATTTTTAGTATTTTAACAGCAGGAGAGCAAAATTAACTCATATGGATTTATGGTGAAGAAGTATCTGTGTACAAATATGAATTTCTCTTCAACACCTTAAATTAATTTACCAAATGTTTTATAATACATATTAATTGAATCATCACATTTTTAGAAAACCAGAATCTTAAATTAGTACATTTGTAAGCATATGAAATGCCTTTTGAATACCGCAAAACTTAGAATTTATATTAAAAACAAGCAAATGTTTTGAATTGAACTATGTTTTGGTAGAATAATTAATTATGCATTTGAATTTCTTAGCTACATGGACCAGTCCACAGACACCAAATTATTCTGCTGAAGAAAAAAGTGAAGGGAATGAATGCCCTTTTATTTCTTTGGCAGGGAGGAAATTATGTAATGCTGAGCTGAAATCTTCATTTCTGTAGTAAATGCTGTCATTCTTGTCCAAGGCTCCAGGATTTGACCTTCCCTTGGATTTCACTGATAACTATTAAAGGCTAATTTCCAGAGTTGCTGTGTTACCAGAAGTATGACTCTTATGCATCTAGTTTTAAGTCCTTGTTCTATCATGTGCTCAAGTTAGTAATACTTACCTCTTCCAGGATTTAGTTTTCTCATCTGTAAAATGGAAATAATGGCAGTGATCATTTGTTGAGTGCTTACTGGCCCCAAGCATTGTGCTACATATGTTCTACAGGCATTATCTCACTTTACCTTTTCATCTCCCCTATTTGTTAGTTACTATCATCAATCTCTTTTGCAGTTGGAGAAGCTGTGATTCTGCAGTTAGGGTTGGTAGAGCTAGAATTTGAATCCAGTGTTCTAACCTTAGAGATTGCATGTCTAATCTAGAGATTGCATGTCTAATCTCAAGGCTCAACTGCCTCTTATTTGAAAAGGATATTGTGGGGGCTGAGATCATGTGTATTAATGTATTCAGTTAATTAGGGAAGGAAAGCATTCTATTAATGGTACTTATTATTATTAGACAGTTCTATTATACAGTTCTTTTGCTACATTAAAGGTGACATATAATACTACAATAGTACTGCACCTACCCAGAACTCAGCTCAGAAGAATAAAAAGGCCTTTTAAGCAGCAAAATTAGCAATCATGTAACACATTTACTGTAATCAGAGTGTGGTTCACTCACAAGTGATCCCTTCAGATCCATGCCCGGTCTACACTTTTATTTTACATATCAGCTGCAATAATTTTATTGGTGATATAACATAGATTAGAAGAGAGGCAGGATTGAAGTCAAGAAGTTTAGTAAAGAAGTTACTTTTTAATTGATTTTCCCAAACCCATGACAGATTAAAAGGAGCAAATTAGAAATAGAGCACAGTGTCGTTATTGACAGGTATATTGAAACAGGACAGTGAATTATCAAGAAAGGGTTAATGTTTGTATTTTAAGGTAAGGAATAAGTACTATATCCCAGAACTGTTTCCTTCAAAAATATTAAAATCTCACAAAATTTTATTATTATTATATACTATTTTAACTATTTAGAATCACTTTTTTTCTTTTGCCATGGTATTCATGTAACTAAAGATCTACTTATATTGACAGAGGAACTGTATCGATTAGGCAGCTTATTATAGAACCCTAAGAGTGTCTTATATAATGGCATTTTTTTTATCTTACATAATAACAATGCAGAGGAGAATGGTTGCAGGGTAAGATCAGCAGCTCAGCCGTGTGAGCAGGGAGCCCAGCTTGTCCTTGCCGCCCCCCCCCCGCCCCGCCTCATCCCCACATCCACCCTGGAGGCCCTGCTGTCTTCCAGACATCAGCTGTCCTGAGGCTGGACCTGCTGGGTTTCAAGACGGCTGCTGTATTTCAAGACTTATGTGAAGTCACATGCCCAGCTGATGAGAAGGCACAACTTCTCTAAGATGCCTCTTTGTATTGGAGGTGAAAATCTCTCAAAGAATCCTCTCAACAGATTTCCCCTCAGGTCCCGTTGTCCAAGATTTGGTCCCTTGCCATGTCCTGACTGCAGGGGGAGACAGGGAAAGTGAATTTCTCTAGTGAGATTGGGCCCTGCCAACAGGAAGAAGTAATAGGAGGAAGTTACACATCAGCCATCTGATATATCTACAATAGAAATCAACTTTTAGGAGAGGTCATTAACTTCATTTCTCTAACCATTTGCCATTAGAAAGGACTGATTTCCTTTGAGTTTCCTACCACAAACTGGTAACTATAATGGAACTTTTATGTATTGCCTCATTTAAGCTTTATTTGAGTTCTTCTGAAAAGTTGTTATTGTCCCCACTTAATAGATGAAGATAAGGTGCACAAAGAGATTAAATAAGATGCTGGAGCATTCCCAACTTGAGATGGAAACTGGATTCTGCTAAAGGTGGGCAAGGCCCCCAGCCTGAGTTCCTGGTGCTGAGGGCACCCAATCGCTTGATCTTCGTGTCAGGATAAAAATTTGGTATTACTCCTTGCAAAATATTTTATGGCCCAATGCATGACTTCATTGCTCCCAAAGAAGCCTGGACCTGCCTCGGAGTAATTTAAAACATGCATCAGGAATGGCTGACTTAATCATCTTTCCTGTAGCAACTACATTCTTCCTAATACTCTAAACCACTCTGTTGTGACTGATATGTTTTGACTGATATGATAAGTATAGGAAAAACATATCCAATAAAAGCTATTGCTAATATTCTGATCACATTTCATTTTTATCTTACCAATATTTTAGTACAGATAAGCTATCATCTGGGTGGTCACAGCATATTTCTGATGTGCAGATATTATAGATAAGTGTGAAAAAAAATCGATGTAATCTTTGCTTATATTTGTTTTTAAATCTTTCAAAGGGGGCATCAAGAGTGGGCCTAGAATTTAAGGCCCTTAGATTATCTTTTTTTTCCTGAAGCATGTCTCAATCTGTAAGAGTATGACTCAGGCGATCTTTCTCTGTGCCTCTGTCATTTAGGGTGTGGGAATGACCGTTTACCTCTCTTTATCTAAATATTGCAGCCCATAGCCTGGGTTACAGTAATTTCCTTTATGTATCTCCAACTGAGTCAGTTGAGCTATGTTCTTCCTGGAAAACATGAACTCTAACCCAGTGAGGAAAAGAAAGGCTGTTGGCTTGGCCAATTAGAAATGAGACTCCCGAAGTGGCCTGAGGTGTTCCGGCCTCTCTCACCTGCCAGCAGGCTGCACTGCTTATCCAGGTCACTAGGGCACGCTGGTTGAAAGAAGAGCCGGGAGAAAACGACACGTTTGAGTGATGGTCTCACTAGCTCTTCCTCTTTGCTGTGTGCTTAGTCTCTAAGGAGACTGTTCACTGCCCGGTGGTCTGCTCTCTGTGTTCTGGAAGATATTGCTTTGTGTATGAAAGTGGGTCAGGATTCTGAGCTTAGCCACACACACGTAAAAAGTATTTTAAAGAAGGAAGGAAAGAAAGAAGAGAAGAAGGGGGGGGGGGGAAGTTAAGGAAATTAAGGCTGAAAATACTCACAAAATAAGCATCATACTAGGTCAGATATTTTCCTCTGTTCATTCTTGGCATTATTTGCTGGTGGTTTTAAAAGGCAGAATCCTGAGTTTTTTTCTGCACTTCCTTAGGGAAGTTGAAACTTGGAAATATTGAAGGGACCCAAAAGCTGAGAGGCTGCTGCTATTGGGTATGGGGAGAGTAAACATTTATAAGCTCAGAGCTGTGAAATGTCAGTTTAGTGAGGGTTCTGGCCCCCTCCCAGGCTGCTCATGGATGGTGCCCATTTTTGCCACATCCCCTGTGGGCACAGTTGACTGCTCAGTTGATCCCAGGAGCCACCTGTTAGCTGAGCCTCTGGGATCGGGTCGCCACCATGTGCTCGTTGTGAAGGTGTATGGTTCTGCCAGGCCAGTTCCCCATGCCCTTGTGAATCAGGATGAACAGAAAGCAGACGCTCCTCTACTTCTCTATAAAAGGTCAGTTTAAAGAAAAAGAAAAACTATCTTTGGAGGTTCCAGCGAGGAAAAAGGGCTAGAGATAAAAGCAAGAAGGTAGAAGCCCTACAGCAGTGAGAACTCTCAAGAGGTATCTTACAGGTTAGATGGATCACAAGGCTGCAGTTCAGATGCCATCGGGCTATAAGAATGTGGCCTCGGGTGGGGTCACAGGTTAGGGAGCAGGCTGAGATTGGATCAGGCATTCCTGATGAATGTTTGCATTAGCCATAAGCCACTCTGAAAGCAATGGAGTGGGGCTGTGGTAAGCCTCACCGTGAATGGGGAATATGAGCCTCCTAGGGGCTCAGTAGGGACAATAAGTTAAGTAAGTACATGATAGTAAGTCTGTTAGTAAGTAGATGGTAGAGCCACGGTCACACCCAGGCTTGTCTCACCCTGAGCGAATTTATATTTTATTCTTGCTGGACATTGAATACTTTCTATCTGCCTTTGGCACTTCCTGGGTGTCCTGCTTCAATGTATTTCTGATCCTACAAATTTCAATGTTTATTTTACCTTTAGCATCTGAAGTCATCTTCAACCTGCCTTCCCCGTGTTAGTTGCTGAAATGCGAAAAATTAGAGAAGGCAGCCCAGCCAGTGTCATGCCAGCTCTCTGGTGTGGTTTATGTTACACAAATTATTTCCATCCCTGAAGTATCGTTTGCTTATAATTATGGCACTTAAGTTGTTTGCCTTGCTTTTCCTCCTGTTGGAGTGGAAAATGTTATATCAATGAAAATGGCTTCAATTTCCTCATCAGAGACCAAACATTCTATTTGCTTGATCCACTGCTGGAATAATAAATGTTCCAGATACTGCAAACAAGGCCCAGTGGTGCTAGTGCAAGATACTCTGATTTTTTTTTTTTTAATTTTTATGTGTAGAGACAGGGGTTTGTCTCACTATGTTGCCCAGGCTGGCCTTGAACTCCTGGGATCAAGCAATCCTCCTGCCTCAGTCTCCCGAGTAGCTGGGACTACCAGGTCATACCACCATGCCAAGTGGTGGCACTTTTTTTAAAAAAAAAAAAAAAGCGAGAAGCCAGAAATCTTAATTTTTATATGAAATCTTCCAATGTTTAAATGTTGATACCTAATTTAAAAGTTAAAGGTTATTACAACAACCAAACTAAACATTTATGACTACCAAATGCTGGCTTTGGGGCCATAGCTTATGATATCTACTACTGTGTTTCCCGAAAATAAGAGCTACCCATAAGGTAGGTAGCCCTAGCAGGATTTCTAAGCATTGCGCAGTATAAGCCCTACCCCGAAAATAAGACCTAGTGATGGGCGTGGCTGCTATGCAGCGTATCTGCACAACCCGTGCATTTCATCTCGGAGCGGTAAGAAGACAAGCAGCCCTTCTCATCTGCCCCATGAGAGCTCTGTTGCTCAACATGAGAGATTGGGGCCAATGGTTCTAAAGGAAATAAAGTCACAAGAAATTCAGGATGGAATTTAGGGTTTGGAGAGTTATGATCTTCCAGAAGAAGACAACTTAACTATATTTGAATAAATGTAGATTGTCATACCGTACTTAAAAAAAACAACATATCCCCTGAAAATAAGCCCTAAGGTATCTTCTTGAGGAAAAATAAATATAAGACCCTGTCTTAATTTTGGGGAAACACAGTAGTTTGGGGGATTGTGTGGTATGATTCTGAACAAGTCCGAAACTTCTCGATAGGTCAGAGGAGTCTCACAGGCTGAGCAGGGTTTAGATGAGCTGAGGGGAGGAAAGGAGAAAGGTGTTTGTGTCTGCTGCTTCCTGTACCTGGGGCAAGCGTGTGGTTGCAGAACATACAGGATGCCGCGGTGAGGAAAGAGAATGTGTCTTTCCTTATGGGTACCCATAATAATCTCCCTTGGGCTACACTGAATCATCTGAGACTTCTAGGTTAAACTTGCTGCCTTTTTCAGGATACAGGTCCAACTGCCTAAACAAAGACTGCAAATATTAAACAGGATAGAAATTTGTCTGTCTCATAGTAGTCTCCGAGTGTAAGCCAACCAGGGTACTCTTTTTTCCTTCCTGCTTTGTCATGGTTCATTGTCATGACCCAAAGTGACTCACCTTCCTGCCAGCTGGAAGAAGGGGAAGGGATGAATGGAGAAGGCCATGACCCTTCCTTCAAAATACAAGATCCAGATTCTGATGGATCACTTCTGTTCACACTATTCTGGCCAAAACTTGGTGACATGGCCACACCTTACTCCAAGAAAGGCTGGAAAATGTGGGTTCTATCTGCATGGCTGTTTGTCAGCTAAAAATGATGTATGACATTAGAAAGAGATAATGGATATAGCCGGGCAGTTAGCAGTCTGCTGCATTTACTTGTACTTGTGGGTCTCAGGTTCTGTGGGGTAAAGTACCTGTCATTGTACCCTCAGTTTAAATTTTCTAATTATTTTAGTAAGGCCCTAGTAGCACAAATGGAGGGTGATATTTGTCATTAATTTTTCCTACTTTAGATTCTTACAACACACTTTATTTCTAATTAGATTTAAGTAGCATAGTGAGTTTTTGTTTTGTTTGTTTGCATAGTTGATCTAGAGCAATGGTTTCCAAACTTTTTGGTCTTGGGATGCCTTTGCACTTGTAAAAATTACTATGGACACTAATAAGCTTTGTTTATGTGGGTTATATCTATTTATATCACTGTATTAAAAATTAAAATAGACATTTAGAAGAGTATGCAAGTAAACATTCCAGTAACGGTTATACTCTCTGGAACTCTCCACTATGCAATCAGGAAAAATTGATGCTAATAAAAATAGGTAATGTTTTAGTAATATTATGAAAACAATACTGACTTCACAGACCCCCTAAAAGGATCTTGAGGAACCCGGACCATACTTTGAGAGCTACTGATCTAGAGAAGATACATGTGTATGTTAACTTTGGTAATTTTTTAAATTACAACTGTAGGTACTAAGACTAGAGATTAAAAATAAATTAAGACAGGACCACTGCCATCAATCAATGAATGGTTCAGGAAATAAGTTGACCAACCAATCTGTGAACATCTTTCATCTTAGATTTGAGATTCCATCTAAATTAAATCTAAGATTTCATCTTAGATTTATCTATATTTGAATTCTTAATACATTTATATATGGGAGTTAATAGTGATTGTTTTTATCTGTAGTAATTTAATAACTTCTGGTGTTTAAGATATGTTTGATTAAACATGGTACATACAGAAGCTCATTTTGGTACATACAGAAGCTCATTACAGAGAAGTTTGTTTGTTCTGGTGCACACTTACCGTTGTTTTTTTGGTCACCCAACCCTGAATCCATCTTTTCTCATTTGGCACATCCCACTGCCTCCTACAGGAATAGAAAGCACTAGATATTTGCATTTTCAGCCATCTTTGTAGCCAGACTGCAGGCGCGTGGCCTAGACTCTGCCAGTCAGACACCTCCAGCTCATGCTTTGAAATAGAAACCAGGGACACGCAGAAGTGTATGGCAGCTGCACGTCCTTTCCGGGGCAGCAGGGAGTTTCTGGAGTTGCTGGTGTTGGTGGTGGAAGCCGCAGGCTCCTCTGTCACCAAGGGCCAGAGACAGCAGTGGTGTGTTCACCGCACCCGTGCTGCTCTGTGATCTGGGGTGATGTTCTTGAGTGTGCAGCTTCCAAGCCTGGTTTCTCTGGCCGTGCTAGAAATTTGTGGTTTTTCCATGATCCTTCTATGAATTCAAGAGTCAGTGCATTTGCCTGCAACTAAGAACCCTGCTTAATGCATTCTCAAATGCAGTGTCCCTCAAAGTGGTTTTTTTTTTTGAAACTTCATGTGTTGAAATCATATCCTGCCAACGCCTGTTTGTGGGCCTAAAACTGATGGATTCAGACTCCCTGTGGGTGAGTCCTAAGAATCTGCATTTGAAATGAGTTATATTATTTTGGGTACGGTAAAATTTAAGAACCACTGTCCTAGTGTTTCCAACTTTTAAAATTATCTGCTTTCTATTTATGGATCTCAGTAACCCTTAAAAGAAACAGTTCTACTCCTTTACAAGTCCCTAATCAGTGACTGACTAGTACTTTGTGGTTCCCCTCTTTTCCCACTCACTATGTTCCCCACAAGCCTTTGTTCTGTCTCTTTAACTCTTATAAAGTCTTTTTTTCTGGTTTATTTCTTCAGACATCTGGGCATGGCTTAACCAGGTCCTCTGCTCGTGGTCTCGCAAGGCAGCATTCGAGGTGTCGACCTGGGCTAGGGTCTCATCAGAGGCTCAGAGTCATCCTCCAAGCTCGTGTAGTTATTGGCCGAATTAATTTCCTTGTATCTGTGGATCACATGGCAGCTGAGTCTTTAAGGCCAGCAAGAGAATATTCCTTTTCAAGGTCTTACCTGATTAGGTCAGGCCCACCCAGGATGACCTCCCTTTTGGTTACCTTAACATTAACTGATTAAGGGCCTTACAGTATCTCTTTATCTTTGCCACATGATGCAACATAATCATGGGAGTAATATTCCATCACCTTTGTGTCTTCTGTTGGTTAAAAGCCAGTTACAGGTCTCATCCACACTCAAAGGAAGAGGATTATGCAAATCTATGGTTAAGAAGGGGCAGGAATCACAGAGCCATCCTAAAATTCTGTGTCCCACAGCTCTAAGGCTGAGTTTAAACCCAGACTGGCTTCAGATTGAAGAGTCTACGGCCCCAGAGTTCATGCTTTTAACTGCTATGGCCTTCTTTTTTCCTTTGAAGAAGGTGACCCTATAATACTTTATAACCTTGCATGGAGTTCTAAGCAAGGTAAACCCCCAGCAGATTCCTACTGGGGGCTGGTCAAACATCAATTCCCTGCATACTTCCACTTTTGATGGTCAGGTTCAAGAAACCATAACCACCTGCTGTTTTGTATTTTCAGAGAGAGATTTCTAACAGTCTCTCTAAACATTCAGATTATATAAGTTATGTCAGTGTGTTCATGTTCTTCTGAGGCAGGAATAACTCTGGGGTTTGGGATTTGAGACGTTGGTTCTCACAGGATAACTATAGCTCTGCTTTTTGTCTTTGAAACAGATGAAGTGATTGAGAAGAAACGGTGAGCATCTTCATTTTTGTAGACAGAACAACATGGATCAGCCACTTACTGTGAATTCTCTGGTAGGTCACAGCACCTGATATTTCACATATGGTTGGAAAGCCCAGAAAGAAGAACAGAAACAAACCAAATGTGAAATGAGTCACAATTACTTTAAGAAGTTTAGCCCTTGTGTTAATAGTTTTTCATCAGTGTGGCCGTCTCCTTTGAGGAAGTGACTAATAATGCCATCTGAACAAGATTTAAAAATAGATCTTTTATTTTCCTGAAAAAGTCTGAAATTTTAATTTATCTGGCAAGATTCCAGGAGTATAATCTTTTGGCAAACACCGGAAAGAAGAATTTCAGAATTGACATCTTAGCAAGTACTTAAACCTCATTGGTGCCTCAGCTTCTTTGCAAATAAAAATTAGAGGCTCACCTACCTTATGGGCTAATAACTAAGGAAAACATATATTTAACACCTAGGTGTTGCTTTGGATTCTTTGTGTAAATATCTGCACAATTGAAACTCTTGTTCTCACTTTTCCCCTTACTGCCCAGCACCACGTGCACTTTCTCTAGCTCCATCTTAAAAGAAGCTTTTGCTGGAGAGGAAATAACAGGGGCTTTGGGATCACATAGGCTTATTCTGCATCCCAGATCAGTCTCTGGGCTTGAATATGGGCATGTTACATAATCTCCATGGCTCTGATTTTGTACTTTGTGCATTATGACGATTGGAAACAATATTTTTGATACTCCCAGACTATCATTGTGGCTTGATCAATGGAAGCTTTCATTATCATTCCCCTCTATCAGATGATCCTCTCTGACCTATTCACTGCAACCTTGTAGCAGTAGCTCAGCAGGATACTAAATGCCCTGTACACACGTAGCCTACCACTGGGACATAAAGGAAGAGAGGGCCTGGGTCTTGCACTGAAATAGGTTGTGACCTAATGTTTTCTCTTGTTCAAAAAAGGCCTTCAGGCCCGGCGCGGTGGCTCACGCCTGTAATCCTAGCACTCTGGGAGGCTGAGGTGGGCGGATTGCTCAAGGTCAGGAGTTCAAAACCAGCCTGAGAAAGAGCGAGACCCCGTCTCTATTATAAATAGAAAGAAATTAATTGGCCAACTAATATATATATATAAAATTAGCCGGGCATGGTGGCGCATGCCTGTAGTCCCAGCTACTCGGGAGGCTGACACAGTAGGATCGCTTGAGCCCAGGTGTTTGAGGTTGCTGTGAGCTAGGCTGACGCCATGGCACTCACTCTAGCCTGGGCAACAAAGTGAGACTCTGTCTCAAAAAAAAAAAAGGCTTTCATAGGAGCTTACTTGTTTTTAGAATATGTTTAGAAGTAGACAATTGCAGAAGCCTTTTCACTTTCTGACCCCATGTTGTCATTCTACTGTGGGTTAATAAAGATTGCCCCATTTCCTCCTCTGCAGAGGAAGGAGTCATCTGTATGGCATGTCTTCTGGTGTTTCTCTAGAGCATTATATAGGAATAATTGAAATTTGTTATATATGTCACCGTGAAAATAAACACTAAGGCTTTTCATCTAAAAAATTGTGTTTTTATCCAAGAGACTCACATGCAAATGAAATATTATAGATTGATGAAGATTTGAGGTTGTTTTCCAGCTTATCTCTGAAATCAATTTTAAATTTGAGAAGGATAGGACCATTCAGTAAAGGAAAAATCAATTTTATTTCTAACATCAGGGAAAAAAGGTAATCTAATTAGAGTCTCTTGTTGCTCCTTTTTCTTTCTTCCTCACTTTTTTCTCTCTCTTACCTGACACACTTATTATCACCTATGTTGCAAGGAATATGCTACATCCCAGGGAATAGAGATAAATGGAAAATTATAACTTTCAAAACCCCATAAGGGGTTTAGAAACACTTGTCCAGAAATAATTATAATTCAGTGTGGACTATATAATAGTAAAATATAAACACATTACTTTTGCATATATGGGAGGCTGTAAGTCCCCTAGAAAATGCTCTAATTTTCATAGATTTTTTTTCCAGTCATTTTGACATCATCTGATGTAATTGAAGTAATTACCTGTGGTCGAATAACAGTATTTTCATTTAGGGCTGTTGAGTTCTACAGGTGAGTGTGAATATGTAAAAGTGAATGGATTGCTGTAGTATTTGAGATGTCTTAGCTGGAAAAGACTACGAATACTCAAGCCTGCGGCATGGCGCTCACAAGCTCCAATTCCTGTCTCTGATGTGGGGAAACCACATAATAGAAGGTGCAGGAGACACAATGTGCTTTTGACTTAATGGAGCCTTAAGAAACAAGTTTATGGTTCTCTGGTTATATATTAAACCTTTAGGGCCAAGAATCCATTTCAGATCGCTGTGATTCTATCGGCTATAAAATTACCACCAAAGTAGACCAGATGGCATTGGAAAGACTCCAGATATCTAATTTACTGCAGCCTGCCCTTAACGGCTGGTTGAGTAATCCATGGCTAGACTGAAAGTATGCCTACTTGATTTCTTTCACAGCTTTCTACAGACTCGAATCAAGTGCTTCACCTACACTGTAGTCAGATTTGCAACCAAAATTACCTTAAACTGATGGAGGAGGCCAAGGAAAGCTAAATTTGCTCTGGGCTGACTCCATTCTTGAAGCATCCAATCATGGTAGAGTGGTTGGTCTAGAGCCATGCTTCTCAAACTGTGGCATGCATAACTACCTCTGAGAACACCAGTTCACATCGATTTTCTAGTCTCCCTTCAGAGATACTGTATCTGTAGATCTGAGCTAGAGCCTATTAGGAATTTGCATTTTTAAGAAACTCCTAGTTGATGCTTAGGCTGCTACTACATCATACTTTAAGACCCATTGGTCTAAAGTAAAGGTCAGCAAACTATGCTCTAAGGCCCACATCACCTGCTTGTTTTTATAAATAAAAACTTTTGGAACACAGCCAGGCTCATTCATTTTTATTTTTTGTTTATGCTGGCTTTCATGCTGAGAGAGCCGAATTCAAGTTGCAACAAAGACCTTGACCGGCAAAGCCTAAATATTTGCTATCCAACCCTTAACAGAAAAAATTTCCTGACTTTTTGCCTTTCTCAAGCACTGACTTTTTATTAAATAATTGAATAATTACTGTAATTGTGTATATTTTATACTTTACCAAATATATAGATATTGGTTTTATTAATAAAATTCAAATATATCAATTATTAGGTCATTAAATATGAAATGTCCATTCTTGAATCAAAAGTTTCGTTTATTATATCTCAAACAAGAAGAAGTACAGTTAATCAAAGTGTGCACCTAAACTATGGACACAGTTTTACCATCTTAACGGAAGCTTGATTATGCCAGCAGCAAAGAAGCCTGGAGAGCTAGTGGCAATGAAATTGTGAAAGGCATTTTCCAAAGCTTGTTGAGAATTGAATATTTTTCCTTGCAAGAAGTAGTCCAAAGCTGGGAAGAAGTGGTAGTCAGTTGGTGTAAGATCTGGTGAATACGGTTGGTAATAGAGAGTTTCAAGTCCAGTCTGTAGTTTGAGCAGGATTGTTCGTGAGACATGTGGTCAAGCGTTGTCTTGCAAGAGGATTGCCTGTCTCTAGTAACCCATCTCAGCTGCATAATCATAAGCATCCTCATCATTCGTCCAGTTGGTTACAGTAGACATCTACTACATTAACTCTTATGAAAAAAATTTTCTTAGGTATTGGTGTCAGGTTTTTAGTAGAGGAAATATATCCACAATACCAGTCATATTGTCTTATTATAATCAGAGATTTAAATTTTGCTTTGCAGAAAAAGTTAGCTGCTATGCCTGACCATACGGATGTTTCCCTGAGCCCAGAAGAGCGAGTCCGTGCACTGAGCAAGCTTGGTTGCAATATCACCATCAGTGAAGACATCACTCCACGACGCTACTTTAGATCTGGAGTGGAAATGGAGAGGATGGCGTCTGTGTATCTGGAAGAAGGAAATTTGGAAAATGCCTTTGTTCTTTATAATAAATTTATTACGTAAGTCTTTTGTTTTGGAGGCACTTGAAATGAGAAAATTAGAAAAAATATTTACATGATATTTTGATGTGGCAGTGTTGATACTGAGAATATTTTCATGTTCAGACTAGTATTACAATCTCCAAAAGCATTAAATGTCTAAGTTTTTAAATTACCTAGTAATGCACCCCAAGGTATCCCCACATCATCTCTGAGGCTTAGGTGGGGGAAGAAGGTCAGGCAGGGGATGAGGCTCAGGAATATCAGATTTGCTCTCAGCAGGTTAACACAGGGGCCTGCAAGTGTAGTTGCTGGTTTCCTGTCCCACAGGAATATAAGCTGTCTGAGAGCAGGAGCTATAGTGCAGCTCCATTGATAGTACCTGGAACATGCCATCAACATTTTGAAATTTTGATTTGGTGGCTTGAAACTAGTTGACAAGTTGTGGAACAAAAGAAGGATCTGATTCAGGTTCAGGGATAGGATACAGTTATCAGTTTTGTGTATTAGTGTTGCTGTTTTCAAAGCAGTTTATTTGGCCATGTAAGAATGCCATGTATAGAAGAACTTTCAGAATGTTGAGTAAAAATGTCTACATCAAAACATCCATGAAAAATATTATATTTCCCATTACATAAATATTTGTTAGTAACATCCTAGTTTAAGAGTTGACAAAAATGAGACTTTCCTTACTAATCTGGCAGCTTATTGGTTGAAAGGATCTTCTTTTATCAATGATTATTTAATCTATGCTGAACATATTTTTTGTTTTAATTGAAGACACATATTGATTAATTGTATTAGTTTATTTTTTACTTTTATTTTTAACTGACAAAAATTATATATATCTACAGTGTGCAACATGATGTTTTGATATATATATGCATATACTGTAGAATGCTAAATCAAGCTAATTAATATACTCATTACTTCACATACCTATTTTTTGTAGTAAGAACATTTAAAATCTACTCTCTTCACAGTTTTCAAGTATAGGATACTTTGTTATTAACTATAATTACTGTGTTGTACACTGCATTTCCTGAACTTATTCCTATTGTCTAACTGAAATTTTGTATCCTTTGACCAACATCTCCCCACCTCCCACTCCCACACACCAGACCTTAGTTACCATCATTTTATTCTCTGCTCCTATGAATTCAACTTTTTAAGATTCCTTCCACATACAAATGAAATCAGTATTTGTCTTTCTGTGCCTGGCTTATTTCAGTTATAATTTCACTAGCTTAGTTGGGGACTTACCCCAAGAACATTTAGGAAGTTAAAAAGATAAAATATTTTTAAAACTACATACTATGATTCTACCAAGGGCAAAATTAAAATCAATTTATGTGGCATACAAATTGGGATCTGCATTTTATATTTTGAGACAGCATCTCTCTCTTTTGCCTGGGCTAGAGTGCAATGGCATCATTTTAGGTCACTGAGACCTCAAACTCCTGGGCTCAAGCAATCCTCCTGCCTCAGTCTCCTGAGTAGCTGGGACTATAGCCATGCACCACCGTGCTCAACTTACTTTTTGTAGAGATGGGGTCCTGCTATTGCCCAGGCTGGTCTGGAACTCTTGGCCTCAGGAGATCTTCCTGCCTTAGCCTTCCAAAGTGCTGGGATTACGGGCATGAGGGACCTGATCAGCATTTTATTAAAGTCACTTAACTTAAAAATTTAGAGAATGGTTGGCAACTTTTACCCTATCTGGGGAAATAACTTGTGTTCAGAAAGTTAAGCATTAAATATGAAATTGGCAGTTATTCTCTACTATTGATAGACAAAATCTACCAAAACTTTTTATTTCTGAACTATAAGTTACCAATTGATAATTTGCTTGTCACCTTCTACTTCGGTTTTGCACATGCTCCCATGGAATTGTGAGTGTGGTGAAGAGGAAGATTCACTGTACCTTCTGAATTACTGAGCAATCAGAGTATTTGAATTCTCTTGTGGCATTAGTGGTGGATAATTTGTAATTCATTTATTCTCCCTGGGCCTCCATTCCTCATCTACAAATGAAAGACTACATATATGTGATTTTATTTACACGTAAATAACATTTATGTATGTATAAATATTACTTATGTATAAAGCTTTAGGCAGCTATCAACTTTTATGTAGCCTTTTTAAGCCTTAATTTTCTCATTTGAGAAGTAGGAATTATGCTACCATTCCTATCTATCCTATAGCCTTGTCATTAGGTGAAATGAGGTGATGAAAACATATATATAAATATATTCGTGTATGAGACAGATTTGTAAACAACAGAATCATTAAGTATAAGGTGTAACATAGTAGCTGATCAGAAATAGCATATAATATCTATCAAGGAAGGGTTATTCATTCATTTTACAAATATTTATTGAGTACTTATTATGAACTGGATGCTATTCTTTTATTCTTTTATTCACTGATGTATTCGGGATTCGGGATACATCAGTGAATAAAAGAGAGAACCCCAACCCTTGTGGACGCAGTATATTCACTTTACCTGCAAGTGATGCACCTGGTTTGCTGTAGGGATTTTGCTTTAAACCTGCTGTCTCTTGTTCCTGAAAAAGGTGATGAAAAATAATAGAACTCCTAATTATCACCTCCTACTCCACTAGGAAGTTTGGTTGTCATTTCCCTTCATTATGAATTTCCAGTTAAGAGTTTTTGATACATACACGACTGCGCTAACTGATTTGTTGGTGGTTGTTTGAATCTTTTTTATGGGTGAGAAGGGATTTATGTCAGTCTTTCCAAACTCTTATTTTTATGTGATCCTCTCTGTTGTCAGCAATGCACATAAGTAAGATGGTGCTCTCCTGGGGTTAAGGATTCAGCCCCGGGGAAAGGTCAAAGTGACTTGGTCCATTTAAGGGGGTACCCTGACCTTAACCCTGTTAGCATCAATGCTTTAGTTTGTTGAGCTTAACTACCCTGTAATACCAAAATAATACTCATGCCAACTTTTACTGAAAAGGCAGATAGAAAGACTAGAGGTTAAATAAGTTATTAAACATGTCAGTTTTTGAAAGGATGCTCATTCTCGTATTATTAATAGAAACTATTATTGAGCTTTTGCTGTCAGTTAATGCTAAGGACATGCTTTCTCTTTCTCCAGCTTGTTTGTAGAAAAGCTTCCTAGCCATCGAGATTACCAGCAATGTGCAGTACCCGAAAAGCAGGACATTATGAAGGTATTGTGGGGTTGATTTCCACTGTGGTATCAAATGCTCCATAAGTGTCCATTATTGATTCACCCTTCCTCTCCTTTCCTCCTCTTTCTCTTCCTCTTGAGAGTTTGAGCGCAAGAAATTCATTCCATTAGCCACAATGTTTCGATTTCTTAGACATTTAATGATCATTACTGAGCCAGCATGAGTGTCTAATTGATGCTGGGAAGAGAGAAAGAAAGAAAGAAAAAGGTCACCTTATGGTGTGAAAAGGGAATTATTTTACAATTCCTTGCAGAGATTGAGATAATGAACTTGTTTGAGACAGTGATTTTGGCTGGTTTTGATTATTCTGTGCAGCCCTGATCTCAATAACTATTTCAAAATCAGTGTTGATTATTAAGACTTAAGCCACAAAGTTCTAGCTTTTTACCTCTTATGGTACTAAAGGGTTTATGGATAATAAAGTGTTGTTGGTAGGGTGAGGGTGGCCTAAAATATTCTCAGAGAAAAGAAAAAGTGTTGCAATGCATTTATTTATCATCAATATTTGCTACATCTATAGTTCCAACTATCTTTAACTGAAAATACATGGAATGTGTGATTGATTACAAACCCAGTACCTAAAAATCAGTACCTGCCTAAACAAAATGTTTATCTAAACAGTATTGTCAATAAAGGTCTTCCAAAAGCGAAAATATTTTTTCTTCCCTGCAGAAAATGTGTATTTTAGACTCCTAAAAAAGAGAGATTTATTTTTCTGCCATCATCTTTGGTTACTCGATTTGACTTGATTTCTAATACACATACCAGCTGTTTTTCTTTCTCAGCTGATGATCTGAAAGAGTATATTGAAAATCCCACTAATCTATATGTATATATATTTTTAAAAGAAACTGAAGGAGATTGCATTCCCAAGGACAGATGAATTGAAAAAGGACCTTTTAAAGAAATATAACGTAGAATACCAAGAATATTTGCAAAGCAAAGTAAGTTCAGTTGGTACATTTATTTCATGACTGTTTTCTGTGCAAATATTTTGTGAATATCATTTTTATGTGCTGAGTTTCTCAAATGTCATATGCACTTAAATTAAAAAGGAAAGATACAATGATGTGAAACCAATAAAAAAACTTTATGTTTATGTCCAGTTTAAATTAAGCGCTTGGACCAAACACGTGGCATTTCTCTTTCCCTACAACATCTAATAAAGCAATGCATTAGAAAATACATTTCTTACAGTGATTTAAATAGAGCTTTTTGACCAATTCTTGCCCATATGACCTTGAGCCAGATGGCTGTTCTTTGCCAGATGAACAGAAGCAGTAGGAGGTAGGGAGAGCAGTGTATGGTTTCTGATGCCTTGGAAATGTGAATTTGATTCTTAAATATTACAGTCAATATTAGATTGAGATGGAAGAACAGCTAACCATATGGATGAAATGTAAGAGTGAACATGATAATGACGTCTCAGGGACAGAAAGGCCTCGAAAGGAGAATGACCAGTCAGTCTATGGTATACTCAAGTTCAACTTGTGAATTCTTAATTTTTATAGCATTATTACAAGTGTTGCTTTGCTTTTTTCATTCGTTTGTGTTTTATTTGCTTTGGAGGTGGCCGCCTTCTCTGACTCTCACGTCAGTTCAATTTCATCAGCTCCAAAAATGGTCATTGAGCTTCTTGACTTTCTGTGGGCATAACTGGAAGGCTGGTTGGAGTGAGGTGTTTGCACTAAGTGGTAGAGGCAATGTTGAAATTGGACGTTTCCATCAAGTTTGGATATTTAATAATTTGATTTGAAACATGAAAGATAAAAATGATCTTGAAGGTTAAGACAAAGCAGTAGCAAGGGCGAGAAAATCCTCCCTTCCACTCTCAGAAGTGTGCATAATCTTCCTCTTCAGGACCTCATCATCTGTCCACGTTCTGTCTTTGGTGATGCCTGTCACCTCCCATCCACAATAGTGCTCCACATAGACTCTCGGGGGGGGGGGGTAGCGTGGCAGCATCTGTGCCTAGAAGAGGTAAACAGGCATACCAGCATCGCCTGGAAGCTTGTTAGACACGCAGAATCTCAGGCCCCAAGTCCAGACCTGCTGAATCAGAATTTGCAACTGTAACAAGACCCAGGGTGATTCCGGTGTATGTGGAAACGCTGCTGTGAGCTCTGTCCTTCCCCCACACCCACCTTATGGGAGCTCTTAAAATCTAGTTTCTTTCAAAGTCATTTGGAAAACTTATTAAAATTTCATGTTCTCTGACATAATAATGCCTGGATATTTTGTTCCCACTAGGGAGCTTGGGTGACTCCTTTTTAACAAAACTCCTGGTCAGTTCTGGTAGAGATGGTTGGAATATATTTTGAGAACCATGTTCTAGTGATTCCCCCTTCTCCATAGAGTTCCAGCAGAGTATGAGTTACAGAGTTAGATGCAGATGGTTTTAGGGCAGCACGGTCCCATAGAACTTCCTGTGATGGTGGAAATGTTCGATGTGGCACTCCCCAATGTGGTAGCCACAGCCGTATGTGGCTATTGGGTACTTAAGAGTGACTAGTAAGACTGAGAAACTGAATTTCTAATTTTATTTAATTTTAATTAACTTAAGTTGAAGTAACACATGTGGCTACTGGCTGTATTGGAAGTGCTACTATATTGGAAGTGCCGTCTAGAGGTAAGATTTTTTTGTTCCATATGGCCTGCCGGTCAGGCTAAGCAGACAACCCTGACCTTGACTTTCTAGTATTCAGACGTGCAACGGAATGGCAGGATTGTCATGGCCTGTCTCTGGTGAAATATGAGTGAACTGAGAACTGCAGTCTTACTCAGATCAAGGAGCTTTTGCTGTGATGTTGTGTATGTCCAGTATTTCTCTTTTTCTCTGTCTGCTAGAAGATTGAAAATGTCTCATCCCAGTTCAATATTTTTTGCCTTGGAAACTAACCTTTTCTTCTGGCCACCACATTTTTTTTTTAGAACAAGTATAAAGCCGAAATTCTCAAAAAACTAGAGCATCAGAGATTGATAGAGGCAGAAAGGAAGCGGATAGCTCAGATGCGCCAACAGCAGCTGGAATCGGAGCAGTTTCTGTTTTTTGAAGATCAACTCAAGAAGCAAGAGTTAGCCCGAGGTCAGACGCGAAGCCAGGAGACCACAGCGGCGCTGTCGGAGCAGATTGACGGCAGTGCTTTGTCCTGCCTTTCCCCGCACCAGAACAATTCCTTGCTGAATGTACTTGCAGATCAACCTAATAAAAGTGATGCCACCAACTACGCCAGCCACTCTCCTCCTGTGAACAGGGCCTTAACGCCAGCTGCTACCCTGAGTGCTGTTCAGAGTAAGTGACGAAAGTCAGCCATGCAAAACGTGGAGGCTCTTTGGATGGAACCGTACTTCCATAGCATCTGAGTTCTCCTTGTTTCATTATTAATTGTAGTAAGACCCCTACATTATATGGTGTCAGCGATAGAACTAACCTTTCCGTACTCTCTGGCTTTTATTATATAGCCCTAAAATTCAGGAAACATGATTTGCTCTCTATAGACGAGACCCTCTATAATAAATGGGACTGTATTTTGTCATCGAACAGAGATTTTTTTTTTTTTTTTTTTTTTTTTGAGACAGAGTCTCACTTTGTTGCCCAGGCTAGAGTGAGTGCCGTGGCGTCAGCCTAGCTCACAGCAACCTCAAACTCCTGGGCTCAAGCGATCCTTCTGTCTCAGCCTCCCAAGTAGCTGGGACTACAGGCATGCGCCACCATGCCCGGCTAATTTTTTCTATATATATTAGTTGGCCAATTAGTTTCTTTCTATTTATAGTAGAGACGGGGTCTCGCTCTTGCTCAGGCTGGTTTCGAACTCCTGACCTCGAGCAATCCTCCTGCCTCGGCCTCCCAGAGAGCTAGGACAAACAGAGATTTTAAATGAGAATGCCAATCATTTTTTTCTTCCATGTGTTTTAACTAAGAAAACACATACATCTTAAAGGTAAACACTTACTCTAGAGAGGAAAGATGTTGAGAAAATTGTGTGTCCAGACCTTTGCTCAGCAATAAAATGTTTATACCTACTATATTTAGCATTATCTCTGGACCAACAGGCTCTCAGACACACAGGTAACCTCCAAATAGATTTTGTGTTTCTACAACAATTAGTGCTATTCAGCATTGCTAGATCAGTGCTGGCAAGTTTCTAAAATCAAACAGAATTCTTCCTGACATGTGAGGTGGAATTTTTGTGTTTCCATTTATTTTAAATGAGTTATGGTAGGCAACCATTGCATAAGTTACTTTACTGCTGATTATTTCCAAAAACATGCTTTACTTACTGATCACCAACTTTCATAAAGATATAAGTAACATGTGGCAAACACAATAAAGAATGTTTACCCTATGTCTTATGGGATATGAGATGCATTCTGTATTGCCTATGCATTTAACAGTATGTTATCTTCATACCAAAAGAAAACATACATGTAAAGAATTGATCCAAGGCACAGACATGTAAAAAGTGCTTATACCTTCCCACTTTGTTTATAAATTATTTATATGCAAAATGTAATTTTTTACCTTCCTTCTAGTCAATATTTACTTTTAAGAGTTTTTAAATAAAATATGGAAAGTGGAGCACCTGATCATTTTATTTTTGAAAATTTATGTTTAACTGCAATTGCTTGCCAAAAACAATGCTGAAGGATGGAGACATAAGATGTGATTTTTTTAGCTTTTTTTTTTTCTCTCTCTCTTTTTTTTGTTTCTTAGATTTAGTGGTTGAAGGACTGAGATGTGTAGTTTTACCAAAAGATCTTTGCCACAGATTTCTGCAGCTGGCAGACTCTAATACAGTGAGAGGAATAGAGACCTGTGGAATCCTCTGTGGAAAACTGGTATGGTCTAATTTTAAATCTTCCTGCACAGGATACTTTAAATAGTAGTAGCTTTCTTGTGATAAGCAGAACAGAATAAAAGCATGCTAAGATTTGTAAATATTGTGAAATTAACTTTACATAGAGTAACTTCATAAAACTACTGTGTTATTATTAACGGAATTATTTTTCTAGAAAATGGATTATAAAATTTCAGGGACACTATGAACCCTTATCTTAAAGAATCAATCAAACCAAAATTAAATCTTTGATTAGAAAAATGATATAGACTATGGGTCTTCAGATTTCCCAATTGAGCTAGTTTGCTAAAACAAATTTCCATTGCAATTGTTAGTTTTACATACATTCATACAATTAACTTTCTACCTATTATTACCTGTGGCAGGTATCATCTTGCCATCCTTTCTCAGGCACACTTGGAACAAAAGTAGGGTTTTGTTGTGTTCTTTAGTTTAAGGCAGTAGTTTCAACAAACTAAAGTCTGTAAGCACAGGGAATATTTAATTATGGAAGATATTATCAGAAGTATTTGAGGGAAGACAATGTTGAAACAGAAGGAGAGGAAAGAGATTAGATGCATTCAATTTCCTACCTGCAACAAAGATGAATAATGTTTCTTTGGAAGTGTCCCTGTGTAGTCTGTTTTGGGGATCAGTTTATATTTCTGAGTCCAGGCACATTGTAAGCCCTCAACAGTTAGCTTCGGAATAGCGGTTTAAATGAATAATAGTATGTTTTAGTCAATACACATTCTCCTGCTGTATTCCAGTGTTTTGTCATCACTTTTCCTCCAAGAGAGAGGAAGCCATTGGTGACAGGCAGAACAATGACCATCCACAGGCACCCCCATTGCCCTTCAGGGGGCAGTGTGCAATTGCTGCTTGCTCCTCCTATACTATATTTCATTTCATTAATTGATTCATTCATTATCCATTCACTCCTTCATCAGCAAACATTTACTGATACCTGTATGTGCCAGGCCAGGTGCTGTGCTAGGTGTTGGCATTCACCTACAGCACCTGCAACAGCCAGGGTCCCTGCCACACGAAGCTCACACGATGCTGTAAAGGCCAGCCTGCCTGGGTGAAGACAGAATTTGGGGCACAAACATCTCTTACCTGAGGATCCAAGCACACTTCACAACCCTCTTCTTCCTTTCAACTCTTATCTTTTACCTAAGGGGGGTAATTTGTTTTTCCTTCCTCCTTATCTAATTGTAAATCCAAAATATTATCTTAACTATGGAAGATTCTAGGGAGTCCTCCCAATATTAGATGAAGTTCTTGTCTTGAAGTAAAATTAAATATAACTAGTAAAATAAAAACGAAACCATCAACCTCTACAACCCTAAGAAACACCCTTCAGTAACACCACAACATTAACTAGTTTCTCCCCCTCCAAGTAAACCTGCTCGTTTCTTTCTGACTTTTCCATTGTGTAGATACAATATATCGAGACATTATTTATTAACTAAACTTCCATGGACCAGCCTAGAATGCTAATTCCTATTTATGATATGTTTCTTGTTGCGAAAATGGATTTCAAGCCCCGAACAACTGACTCTCAAACTTTTGGCAAAGAATCTATTTTTACCTTTGGGACTTTGTGTCATGGGGTATGTCTGAGGCTGGGAGCAACACATGCAGGTGGTGGAGGTACTCTCTAGTCTTATAGCAAAACTTTGCTCTTCCTGCTCAGGGTTTGTTTTTCGTTTTTTTTTTTTTTTTCTGTCCGATGCATGTTATTCTTTTTGTTAATTGTTTTTTAGACACATAATGAATTTACTATTACCCACGTAATCGTGCCAAAGCAGTCTGCGGGACCAGACTATTGTGACATGGAGAATGTAGAAGAATTATTCAATGTTCAGGATCAACACGATCTCCTCACTCTGGGATGGATCCATGTATGTTTGACCTTTTGGGTTTCAGTTTCTTTGTATGTGGTGTGCTGTTTTCCTCCTTGAAAAAAAAAATAGGTTAATTTAAATAGCTTTTTTTTTTCAAGTATAATAAAGGTCATCATATTAAAGCATTTTCTTCAAAGTTGGACTATATCTAAATCTGTTGAATCTAGAGAGGGGTATCTTATGCTTTTTTTGTGCCATCCAAAGTTGAAAGAGAGAAAAAGAGTAACATTTGGAAATTAGGTGACTTTTTAGGATGATTTTACATACTCTAGTGTAGGCTGAGTCACATTGTTAACTAATGCAACTAGACAATTATTAATGTTCTCTTTCCTTTTGCTGTGTGACTAAATTAGATTATTTTAAGAAAATTTCTGAAAAAAATTTAAATAGGGTAATGCATGTATTACTAAATAAATAGCCACAGAGTAGGGCAAGGGAATAGGGCCCAAAACATTGGGTTCTAACATCTACCATGCCATCTTAGGAGCAGCAAAGGGCTTACAAGTCAAATAGACATGAGATTAAATCTCAGCTCTGCTACGAATTCACTGTAGGAACATTGGCAAGATATTTAAACAATCTGAGCATCAGTTTTATCATCTATGAAATGGGGATTACAATAAGTGACTACATATGATGTTAAGTATTAAATGAGATAATGTCAGTGTATTTCTTAGCACATTTTTCAGGAACTTGGAAAATCGTAGCTGTTGTGATCGATGATGACACTCTTTCTATCCGTAGTTCAATCCATATGAAGGACATTTTGTCCATTCAGTCACACACAGCTAGAACTAGGGTAATGTCTTAGTCTGTTTTTGCTGCTATAACAAAATACCTGAGACTGGGTAATTTATAAAGAACAGAAACTTCTTCCTTACAGTTCTGGAAGCTGGGAATCGAGATAAAGGCACTGGTACTGATGTCTAGTAAGGGCAGCTCTCTGCTTCCAAGGTGGCTCTTGTCACTTTGTCCTCACATGCTGGAAGGCAGAAGGGCAAGAGAGCCCTTCCTTCAACCTTTCACAAGACTGCCAATATCATTCATAAGGGTGGAGCCATTGTGATTTAATCACCTCCCAAAGGCCACACCTCTTAATACTATTGCATTGGGGATTAAGTTTCAACATGCATATTGGTGGGGATTCCACCATTCAAACCATAGCAGGTAGGGACAAGTTATCCCACTGATATGAAATGCTGGCCAAGAAAATTTCCAGAACACATTCTGGGGACCTCTGAATGCCCCTGAAAAATCATAAGTGATCATTTTGAGTTATACTTGCTTTATAGAGAAGGACTAGCTAGGGGCAGTGCACACACACACACACACACAGTTGCCAAGCATTTCATGTTATGCAATTTAGGAGGATAGAGGAGACTTTAGCCCCAGCTCCACCTGTAGATTACTAGTAAATTACTACTGTGCCCTTAGGCAGGACTCCTAGCCTCCTTGTTTCAAGGTTTCTTAGCTAATGACTGCTTTCTCTCTTAGCTGAATTTGTATGAGCAGTAGACATGATACTAGGTGTAAAAGCCCTTTGAAAAGTATAAACTCCCTTTCAAATGCAAGAAATGATTTATAAGGAAGAGTTTGTAAAACTTTCCCTATGTCTATTTTCTTTACTGAACAGTAAATAATATGCCTTACTGTTTGCTTGGAAATCGCTACATTTTTAAGACATCATTTAACTTAATGTGATTTCTGTTGCAGAAATGCATTTTAAAGCAAAACTGTCCCAAAGAAATTGTGACGTTAAGAATGGCAATCCATTAAATTATACATTTACAGTGACAAGTCAATGTTAGCTTATCTCAAACATTTCCCAAATTAGAAACAAAAGTTTTTCCCTTATGACCTCCTGTGTATATACTGTATGTAAAAATGAAGTTAAGTTGTTGAAAGAATAAATTTGGCATACTTCTAGAATTCTAGGACTTTGCTTTTTGTTTAACTTATTTCACCACATCAAATTGTTGTGGCTTGATGAAAATACAAAAATGTTACATTTCTGAACCTCCATGATTGTAACGACTTCTTGTGATGGTTTTTATTGAGCATAATAATACCAACAAATTCCAGAGCTGACTTTTTATCAGAAATAAATTAGTCATAGGAAACAAAGTCTGAATCAGAATTAGACATGCCTAGATTTGAGTTTAGACTTCTTGGCATGACTAGCTGTATGGACTTCAGCAACTCACTATTCTCCTGCTTATCTCAGTTTCCTTATCTGTAAAATTGGTGTAATAATAGCAATTACCTTGCTGATGTGAGGATTCAGTGATATAGTTCATGGAAAGTGATTAGTTCAGTGCCTGGCACATTATTCAATTGTAATAAATGGCATCTGCCGCTATCGCTAGGAATGTCGTTGTCATCACCATCATCGTCATCATCATCTTCATTTCCATAGAGTGAGGAAATGCGAGCTTATTCTCTCATGGGAGAGCTGTTCTCATTGCAAGGCAGAGTGATTTGTCCATTAGCTAACCTACTTGCTGTCTCCATAGCACTATAGTCCTTTGAACATTTCTTACTTTCTCACCAAGACATAGAATACTCTATGTTACTAGGAGAAGGTGTTCCCTGTCAGATCACAGGCTGTCAGATCCTCCCACTTATACCCTGACTTACAGATTTGCATTTTAAAAGAATAATTTCCCATTCCTCTGTTGATCTAAGTCTTTATAGACCAAGAGTTTTTTTTTTTCCTTGCGGAACATGTATCTTTCTGTAAATAATCAGCTGATTTTACCTTTATTCTATTAAATAAAGTAGAGAAAAGTTTAAAAATCTTGCATTTTTTCAATATACCATACTTTTATATAAAGATATTTAGATACTACTGTGGGCCTATGCCCTTTAGTTAATAATGACAACATTAAAATAATAACAGCAATAATAACAGTTAACAACTTTGATTCCTTTCTGTGTCCTAAGCACTGTTCTAAGAATTTGATATGGACTGTCGCATTTAATCTTCATAACACACCCATGAAGAAAATTATCATTATCCCTACTTTATAAATGGTGAAATGAACAAGAGTAATCTTCGCTGTGCCACATAGCTAGTGAGTGAGTAAGGGAGCCAGGACCCAGAGAGTGTGTGCCAAGGACCTTTGTTTCATGATTAAAATGGTCACATTCCTTTTTCAAGAGTAATTAGGGTTTAATATAATTTTTTAAATCCATATGTATGCTTGTATTTTTCATATGCACATATGAACCTCTGATTTGCCTTGCATAGACACAGGTTTGTATGTCACCAGGTACTTGGAAGATTGTTTTTAATTTATAATCTCCCCTTCTTTCTTACCATGTGAATATTTAGTTGCTGTGCAAGGTGAACCCCAAGTACCTTCAACAACTTGGAGACTCCTGTTCTCCCATTTATAGAAAATCGCAGTCTACAAAAGGATACACAGCAACATGTGGTATATGCAGTGAAAACTTTCTTTTCATGTTCATGGTATTGTACATAAGTGTCTCTGGTCCGAGGTTTCCAGTCACAGCTCTGCTCCCCACCAGCTATGTGACCACAGGCAGATTACTTAACCTCCCTTAATTTTGAGATACTTGCATATAAAATCAACATAATAAAATAAGGGTCTTATAGATGAGTTGTGATAACTATGTAAGAATCTATCTAAAGCCCCTGGCAAATTAATTTCCAGCTCTTTCTTTCCCAATAATAAGAAGGTACACTAAGACTCCCAGGAGCCTTATCTCAAAGTTATAGTTATTCCAAAAAAAAAAAAAAGTAAATAATAGGAATGTACAAAGGAAAGGGTAATACTAGCCAAATACTTTTTAAAATTCTTGTTTGGTTAATGATAGTAAAAAAAAGAAAACAGTGAATTAAATAGAACTTTCTCTTAGAATGGACTGTGGCCTTGGCTAAGGCTAGGGCTAGTAAAATTGTCCTTTTTTCTTTTCATAGACACATCCCACCCAAACTGCATTCTTATCCAGCGTTGATCTTCATACTCACTGTTCCTATCAGCTCATGTTGCCAGAGGCTATTGCCATTGTTTGTTCACCAAAGCATAAAGAGTAAGTGTAACTTTTGGAAGGCTTTGTCTGGGGCTGCTGGGTTCCCATGCGTCCAGACACCAGGCTGTGGCACTTGTAGGCAAGCGCACACGACACCCTTGGAAAAAGACATGGCGGGCGTTAGCTGCCGTAGCTCTGCAGTCTTATGCTTTTTAAGGTCCTGTCCGTGGCACAATTACTGGTTTTCTTTCTTCAGTTAGCGTGACCATGAAGTGCATCACATTTAAAAGGGATGTTATCCCAGTTTGCCATTTGAGATCTTAGTTCTACCGTATTATGTACTATTGTAAGAATTTCCCAGCCTTAATTACCTATAGAACCTTTGTAGTTTTGGGAGACAATGCTTATCTAGAGTAGTTACAAGCATAGGAATCCCGGGTCCACCATCAAGTGGCATGTTTGGCAGGATACCCAACCACTGCCAGCCTCAGCTGCTTCATCCCTACTACTCTCCCTTCGTGGACTGATGCAGAGATGAAATAAGATAGAAGTCGAGGTAAAGTGCTTAGCATAGTGCCTGGTGCCACAGCAAGCACTTAATAAATATTTGCTGTTGCTATAACGTTTTGATGTTATTAGAAAAGTTAGAAATATCTGCCCCGTGCAATTTCCTCCTGTGGGACCCTGGCCTTTCCTCTGGGGTCTCACACAACAGCTCACCTGCCTGTCCCCATTACAATTTCTCTCCTGTATGCCGCTCATCTTAGGATTGGTTAAAAAAAAAATCACTGTGGAATTCCTAGTTTTGTGGTTTCTGCATCCCATTTGAGGGGTATGTACACTTGTGCCATTCAAATAAAGCATCTGGAAAGCCCACCTGATCTTTACCTTTTTTTATACCTTTTTTTCACCCTAACATTTAGCACTGGCGTCTTCCGACTCACCAATGCTGGCATGCTGGAAGTTTCTGCATGTAAAAAGAAGGGCTTTCACCCACACACCAAGGAGCCCAGGCCATTTAGTGTGAGTACATCTTGTTGGTCACTTTGGCAGCTATTTTTTTTTTTTTTTTTTTTTTTGGCTGCCCCTTGCCCTGTTTTTAAGGAGAGAAGTAGTAGCAGTCTGATATGGGATAAAACACTGTACTGCTTAATTTGGAGTTTTATCTCAAAATTAATCAATCTTTGTGTTTAAGAAACTTAGAAATTAAGAAATGTATGACTTCTCATCAATATTATTTTATTTACAAGGAAATTTCAGTATTTCTGTAGCCAAGTTGATAATTGTACAAAGTTACTTTTGCATTTATGTATTTGTATGATGATTAAAAAAAAGTTTTCTTCAAAGTCCAAATAAGCAACCAATATTAGGGAAAACGATATTAAATGTTGCATGAAATGATATTAAATGATGATATGGCCAAATGAGTGTCTTCAGAACAATTCAACAAAGAATATAATTATACTTATTGATCAGCTTTGTATAGTTCAAAACAAATATTTAACTACATGTTTTTTTTTTCTAACTTTGCTTGGAGGTTCTGTGGCTATAACATCAGAGAAACATTACTTTGAAGTTAGAATTTATTTAAAAGGAAAATTACTTGGCAGCCAGTGTAAAATAGTTTCTTATTGTCGAAAATGAATGAATGTGATTACATTTGTTCTCACTGGAAATATTTTAAAAATTAGAAACAATTTTAAATTAAGAAACCTATGCTCCCTACCTAAAGAAAATCATATGTTGAACATTATGATGTAAAACCCAATTTTTTTCTTTCCTAGATATGCAAACACGTGTTGGTAAAAGACATAAAAATAATTGTGTTGGATCTGAGGTGATATGTTCCAAATACAAGCACCATCAACACCAGACACCTGCTCATGGACATGTGGTTGCCGGATTTTCTTAAGATGTTTCCAGAAATGACTGATATTTTATATTTATACATTTTAGATCAGAAAGTTTGATATTTATTGCTCTTGCACATTTTGCAGTTGTTTTTTTTTGGGGGGGAGGGTTGCTCTGTGTCAAGAGAGATTACATTGTGTTAAATCAATACCTATTAATGTGCTATGACCAGATAATAAATTGTGCTGCAAAAAAATGTGTCTGGTATTTATAGAGGTCTCTGCATATATTTTTAGAGTTATAGACATTGTGCTGTATTTTTTTGTTTATATAAAATGTAATTCCAAATAAGAAATACTGCATATGTGTAGTCTCCAAGCAGGCCATCTATTTCTGTGCCTCTCCCCGTGGTAGATGGTGAGCAGTTTCTATGTGTGAGAAGAAACATGGCTGCAGTTGGAAGAGCTCATTCTCTGTGTTCAGCGTCATCAAATCCCAGTCTCAGAGAGATATGTCTACAGTGAATCACAGTGTATGATACCAGAACAACAGGCTTCTACTCAGGGATCAGGTGCCAGAGGGCCTTGGATGGCAAGACCATTCATGAGCTTGAATTAGAAGACTAAAAGCAGACTAGCTTGAGAGCGGAATAAAAAAAGGCTCAGATAAAAGTAGAAAGCTTGTCACTGTGAATGTCAATAGGGGTGACAAGGAGAAGAAATGAGGCACAGGAGATAACTGATTAATTCATTGCCAAAAAGAATAAATGAAAAAAAATAATTTGGAAAGAGCACTTATAATGAAAGGTATCTGTATATACATTAATACACAGAGAATAGGAATAAAATAAGTTATACGTTTGAAACTGAACAGGGTGACATAAATAGAGTGTTGTGGTATTAGTAAGACTTGGAATGGCTTTTGTGACTGGCACCTGGATAATAAAAAGCATTTACCTGGATCAAAAGATAACAGATTACATAGAAGGAATAAGAGACTTAGGAAGTCTGACAGCAAGTTGAATTGGTAGGAAAAACCTGAGGATGGAAACATTGTGGAGAGAATTTATCTGCAAATATAAGGAAGGAAGAATGGAAGTGATATTGTTGAGTACTTGAGGATATGTAAATATTCTTCAGGACACTGAAGATGGGTTCTCAGGCACAACCTTAATCTTGGCAGAAATTGCTCCAGGCACCTCAGGAAATCCTGAACTGGCCGCCCTTATCCTATCAACAGCCTCCTGATCACTTCTTAGTCTCCTTCTCACCTTTTAGGGTCTTACCTTCCTCTAGTCTAGCTTTCTTCTCTTTTCTTTTCAACTTTTAAGTTTTCTTTGCCAGCCATCTCTCCCTGGATCTCCAGGTGGTTTCTACCTGACTGGTCAAACTAATCCTATCCAACCTTGTCTCTGCCCAATGTCTTGTACGCCAGCCACAGCTTTGCAGACTTGACTATCCTCCTGGCATTGTATCTGAGTTGCCTAAACATCCTGTTTGCATGTACTGACATCCACTTCTTAGTGCAATGATTTCTATATTCCAAAGAGTGGTATTCCCTGTATTCTGTGCTTGGGCAGCTTAACATTCCTCCCCACTTGTCTATTCCCCAATATTGGTGTCATGGCACCCAAATTCAGTTTCAGTTCTCATTCCTGAAGAACCTGCTATGGGAAGGCCAGTGGCTTGTTTCTGTTTTACGGCAGCTTGTAGCCTTGGAAAATTCGGGTCTCAGACCTCAGAAGTAGAGCTTGGCTTACCCTGTACATGGAGACTTTAGTCTGCAGCCACCACTGGCTCAGGGCAGGTTAATTCTGCAAGGCTGGCTCTTCAGACAACCCAGTCTTTCCTGAGTGGCGCTGTCCTTGATTTCTTAGCACTTAAAGACACCATGATATTCTGATATAGTTGATCAAAGGAATAGATTACATACTTTATTCAAGTAAAAATAACTGTTAGGACAATGGCTAGTTGAGGAGTGAATGATATCCTCTGTATAGAATTGAAAGAGACATTAATAGACCAAGAGGATGTAAAATGAGAGTTTGATGAAAAAGCTATGGATATTGAATGGTGCCTGGAGATAGAAAAGACTCAGTGGAAAGCCAGGAACACTTAACTTCTTAGATTTCCAGAGAGTGTAGAAAGAGAAGCAATGAGTATGCAAAACCCATTAAATCCCTCCTCAATAGCAAATGAGAAGAGAACTCATTTTTCACTAAAAAGGTATATTATATAACCTAAGCGAAAGCAGCATTCTTGGTACTTTCATTTCCTTGCAAAGAGAGGGAAAACCGCAGGCTTGAGGTAAAGTTTGAAAGGTTGTTTTTGAAAGAGAAGTAGTTTTCTTATTGCCAAGTATTAACCAAATTAACCAGATTTCCCAGGAGGGCCTTGCCACGGGGCTGGACTCTTGGAGGCTGCAAACCAGTGACCTAAGCTTGCTGGCAGAATGAGCCCCCGAGGCTGTGTATGAAAGAAGAACCAACAGAAACATGGCCACATCGTTGAGGAACCGACTGGCCAGGAAGTGGAGCCCACACTAGCCAACCTGGAGGCCCACACCAGTACACGCATGCGCACGACCACCAGCGTGTTTGCATAAGCTGCCCTTGGAAGACCTCAGTCACTGCCGGCAGCGCCGTTCCCTCTTGCGAATGTGCATCAGTTCCAGAACGGCATTTACCCCTTCTTTGCCTCCCAAGGCAAAGATGGTTCCTTATTTCTTTTCAGATTTGTGTTTCTATAGAAAAATGAACCAATTAAGCCTGAGCTTTCTTTGATTTTTAATGCTTATCTGTCTGTATACAGTGCATGGCACCAATCAGGCACACGTCAGGGCTGAATTGTGTCCCCCTTCCCAAATTCATATAGTGAGGTCCTTAACCCCCAGTACTGCAGAACATGACTGTATTTGGAGATAGCATCTTTAAAAAGGTAGTTAAGTCAAAGTGAGGCCACTAGAGCAGACACTAATCCATTATGACTGGTGTCCTTATACTTAAAGATTAAGAAAGGCGCACACAGAAGGAAGAACGTCCAGAAAGACAGGGAAGACTACCACCTGCCAGCCAGAGAGGGACGGGAGAAACCCACCCTGCCAAGACCTTTCTTTATCTCACACTTCTAGCCTCCAGAACTGAGAGAAAATAAATTTCTGTTGTTTAAGCCACACCCAGTCTGTGATATTTTGTTATGGCAGCCCTGGCAAACTAATCCAGCACTTGATAAATATTTGCTAAAGTTGTTTGCTTTCTTCTTTCTGACAGACTGAATTGGAAGTGGCTTTCTCTGTTGTGCAGGGCAGAAATCATTCTCCTCTCTGTAGACCTTGTCGATCGGAGAAGAGCAAAGCAGAACGTTTGTGGATTATTTTCTGCCACTGAAATTTCTTTTTAGCAGGATTTTGCTTGTGGAAAATGGACATTTTATTTGAGGACACATCCTAGAATTTGGTTGTTTAGTTTTCTTCCAATTCATTCCATGTTACCACAGCATCTATGTGGAGACTCCATAATTGCAACGCTTTGACCTTAGACTGAGGTTTTTGTTGCAAAACCAGCTGAAGTGGTCCCAAATGTGGAAAGCAGATGTTTCTCTTCTGGCATATCTTGCAGAATTATCTGGCAAGAAAGTGTTTTCTGTGAAGAGAATGCTTGAGAAGTGTCATGTATTTGGCAAGGATTCAGAAAGAAAGGTAAACTTTCAGCTTGTTCTTCTTACAATAATTTGGTTTGTTATTTATTGTAAAGACAACTAAGTTGTGAAGAACTTTTCCATTCCTTTAAAAAACTTGTTTCCTTTTCTACTATGTTGACTCTTCATGAGGCAAGAATATATTTTCCTTGGGGATAGCTGACAAAAACATTATTCAGTGGCTTCTAGAGATTCATCAAAAGATGTCTAAGAAAATATTTTTTCTCTTTTTTTGAACTATCAAAAAGTATATATTAGTTTGAGCTGCTATAACAAAAATACTATAATAAACTAGATGGATTAAACCAAGGGTCCCCAACCTATGGTGAGCTGTATAATTATTTCATTATATATTACAATGTAATAATAATAATAATAGAAATAAAGTGCACAATAAATATAATGCACTTAAATCATCCTGAAACCATCCCCCCTCCCCGGTCCATGGAAAAATTGTCTTTCATGAAAATGGTCCCGGTGCTGAAAAGGCTGGGGACCTCTGGTAAACAACAAAACATTAAGTCTTACAGTTTGGGTGGCTGGAAATCCAAGGACAGGGTGCCGGTGTGGTCAGGTTCTTGATGAGGGCTCTCTTCCTGATTTGCAGACAGCCACCTTCTGGCCCTGTCCTCACACAGGGGAGAGAGAAATCATCTCTCTCACGTGTCAACTCGTAAGGGCACTAATCCTGTTATGAGGGCTTCACCCTCATGACCTACTTATCTCCTAAAGGCCCTACCTCCAAAGACCATCACATCGAAGATAACTAGACCACAAGACATTCTAAAACCAAATGAAAATAATTAGATTCTTTTTCTCCATCAGGGGGGATTTCCATACCTCTGTATCAGGCAAACAAGAGTTGGCAATGAAAAACTAGAACTGTGTACTTGAATGAATCACTAGCTGGCTGGGTTCTGGATGTACCAATGGAATGTGTGGTGAATTCATATTCTTGAGTATGAAGAGGATGTTTAAAAATTCTTCCCTGCATCTTTTTTCCAGGAGAAAAAGCATTTATAGATTGCTCAAACAAGCAAGCTCTGTTATATTTCCTCCTAATATAAAAGCTGATAAACAAGGAAAGCAGAACAGCTAGAGGATGTGTGCTGTATTCTTGACTTTGGGAAAGGCCATGGGCAAATTATAAATTATATCACTTCTTGGGAATTTAGTTTCTTCATCTATGGAAATGAGGTGTGTGAATGAACTGATTTAGCAGGCTTCTTTCCACAGTAAAATTTTATGCATATTGAAGTTCTTTCCAAGGCAATATATTATTTTTTATTTTTAAAAAAATAATTTATTGAAGCAAAATTCACGTAACATAAAATTAACCATCTTCAAGTAAAAAACTCAGTGGCATTTAATATATTCACAATGTCATGCAACCACCCCTCTGTCTAGTTCCAAAACAGTTCCATCACCCCAGTGTAAAACCCCTTCCCCATTAAGCAGTTTCTCTCCTCCCTATCCTACCCCCACCTCCTAGCAACTGCCAGTCTGCAGTCTGTCTGGATTCATCTATTTGGGGTATTTCATATAAATGGAGTCAAA